TCAGAACATTTCAGTTTTCTTAGCCACAGTGCCAAGTTTTTCAGAACACCTTCCATAATATTGTATAGACTGTCCCCAAAATACTGTTAATAAAATCTAGGTGATAATGCAGCTCTCTGATTCAACTCAATTTTCCTCCCTAATTCTTTGAATATCTTTACAGAACAAGCTTTCTTTCCTAAAGAAATAAACCACTTAGTATCTGGTTACTTATTAAGAAACAATTTCTAAATAGTAACCACAATTCTGCCTAGAAGACTTAACATGAACAAAGAAACACAGTATCAATGTACTCAATGTCCCAATCCCATAAATATTCTTTGTAACTTCATGCAGGTTTGCATCATAAAAAAAGAACAGTGCAATGGCCTGAAAAAAGTGTTTTGTAATTTTCACTTGAAATCACATTTAATAATTGTGGTCTGGAGAAGAGAAAGGCACAAATGTCAGCAAATCAATCATCAACAGCTCCTGAGACCAAGACATACTGCCTATTAAACATATTGGGCCATCCTATTTGGGGTGAAGTCCCAGCTTTCTCCATCCTCAACCACCACCACAGCAAATAAAATTCTAATTCAACAGAATGACAATTACATTAATATTCTGGATAAGAAAATTTACACAATAGTTGTGACCATCTACACTATGATGCTTGTACCATAGAAGACCTTAAAAACAAAACAAACAACAACAACAAAAACCCAAAAAAGACACACACACCCCCCAAAAAAAAAAAAAAAAAACCAAAACCCACAACATTCCCTATGGTAGCTCTAAATTGTCGACATTAATCTCAACAGTTGGTTTCATTCAGATGAAGTCTACTTTGCTCCCAAAAGAAGCAACTGCAACACATTTTCCATCCCCTTCGCACCCACTCCTATCATCTCCCTCATGGTGGTTGTAAGACCCATGGTGTAGCACACAAGAAGAGCTGAGCCATCTTAAAATTACTGTTCATTTTTCAGACAGGTCTGCTGCCTCATCCAACTAACCAAACATTTGGATGAGCACTCGTGCCTACACAAAGGATGCAGCAGAAACGCACAGCTTTCATCCACAGCATACAATTAGAGCAGCTACACCCATAGGGAAACTGCAACATGAAAAAAACAATTACCCTGGAGTCAAATGATGCACCAAAGCTTACTCGTGTAACAAAGGCCCTAACAAAGGCGTTGAAAAGCTTAAAAATGTAACACAACACTTAAACATCTTATCCACAATGTCTAAACAATTCACAGGACTGCCTTGCTCTGCTGTTAAATGAGCTGTTAAATCTTAAAACTTCTCAGTTTCTGTTCCCCATAGTGAGAAAACCTCAATCTTTCAAAAGAGAGAAAAGAAGCTATCCTACAATTTGCAAGTTTTCACAACAAAACCAAGAACACAAGACATCCTGAGATCTGTTACTGAGGAGTCCCACCATCCTTGGTAGGGATGAAAGCGGTCTACCAGGGACTCAATTGTCACAGGGTCTTAGGTTATAGAGCACAAACAGAAATCTTAATACTGGCAACATTAGAATGAGATCAGCACTCTGAAATAAGAGGCTACACTATCAAAGCCATATTCAAGTTATTTATTTAACCACACATACTGACTCTAGAAAAATATAGTATAGGAATACTGAAATACAAGAAAAATCATTTAAGAACATAATATAAGTATAATAGCATTTCTAAACTCATGTATTTGTCTGTAGCATTACAAGAACTCACAGCATGGTATTCACTTCTTTAAGAAAATGAAACATTTACTTTCACTGGCCAAACAGAAAATGAAAGTAACTTGCAAGATGAAAATTACACCAGATTTAATATTATTTGCACAAATTAAGTAACAGAAATAAAACATCTAGGGCTGTGAATTCCAGTTTAATAACAAAAAGTTAACTCCAATAAAAACTCTTAAATAAATGCTTTCAAATGAGGACAAAATCAGAACGATCATCACTTGAAAATATATTCATATACTTTAAAGGAATTATTTTTCAAAAATATGGGTATAATAAAAGGCATGATTTTGTACACAACGAAAGAGAAGCTTCGGATTACATTTCATCCCAGTTACACAGAGCCTTTATTCCTTCCCAGAGTAAAAGTCATATATCTAACACTACATTTACTGGTAATTTTATTTTTTAGCCTTTTATCCCTTCAGACCTCATTACAATGTTTCATGAAAGCTTAGGGCATTCATGTCTGAGAAAAGGTATCAAAACATGGCAAAACGTGCCATCTTGAGAGGGAAGAGTTGGCATCTTAACGCTGGAAAGATTAAAAATAAACAAAACAATGTTAGCTCAAACATTCTCTACCTCAAAGGCTAAGAATCCTTTGCTTTGAGACAAGTAAGTTTTTGTTTAATGAAAAAGGACACAGTGAAAAACTCTTCTTTTGTATAAAATGTAACTGTCAAGCTGCAAATAGGCTTCCGTGCCAGCTTTCACGTGCCTAGTATGTCAAGTAATACAAAGTTCACACAGCTTTGACAACTGAGGCAAGAACAAATGCAGGATGGAGGGAAGCATCAAGAACAAAGTAACCAATTATACACACATGCCCCCCAAAACCTAGGTAGGGAAAAGGTGGGAAAGGGTTACACTTAGAAATGTTTATTAGGAAGTCTAAGGAAACTTTGTTATGAACAGAAGACTTGGAAAAGAGAAAGGACCTAGCTAGCATCACCTCTCTGAATATAAGGATCCAGCATCAAGTCCAAGTTTTGAGGAAGTACATCATGTCATTACATAGCTATGCTGACCAAATTGGTATTTACCTGCATTCCACAAAGAAAATAAGTTTCTTGGAAAGGGTCTGAATGAACCTATTTCTCACCAACTCTTCTTACTTCAAACTTTAAAATGTCTTTTTTCCTCACTTTTCGCTTCTTCACATGCTTTTATACTCTGACTATATAGAAGAAACTCAAATCCATACTACACTAAGACTGTACCTCCAAGTCTTTACAATTTATAGGATTAAAGAGAAAGGTTAATGATAAGTTTTACTAAGCAACTCCTTGAAATTGTTAAAACAGCCTCACAGCCTTACAAATAAATAAGTAAATAAGCATAGCATAATATATCATGCACTTTGAAATTCCCAGTTGAGTTTCTTCAGTATTTGATTTCAAGAAAGTTAAAAAGTACTGGTATGTATTCTTGTTTTTCACAAGTTAATTGCTGTCAACTCTTCCACGCCATACACATGAAAATGCTGGTGCCAATGCAACTCTTGCTACAGAAAAAAAGCAATGCTGTAAGTAAACCTGTTCTAACTGCAATAAATACCTATGCTTCATACTATAACATTTGTTATAGAATGTTAAAAAATTTATATGGCAACAGCCTCTATCAGAGGCATTACAAATGGAGACTGTTCTGTCTCCTTTCCTGTAAGTTCAAAAGTTCTCAACATATCTGTTTCAGAAGTACTGGAGCACAGAACTACTACAAGCAACCAGCAAGTAAAATCTCTCTATGATGAGCATCACAAACAGGGCTCAGCCTTTCTCTTAAATCGTTGTCAGAAATTCAGAGACTAAATTATACAATAATGTAACTGCAATGAAAACAATACTAGCAACAAGTTGCTAACAGACACGTTTCAGACACCTTAATTGCTGTCCTCCCAAGTGCTACAGTTAACAACACCTTAGGAAAAAAACTATCCAGGCCCCTCTCTGACAGCCAGAGCTACATCACTGCGAGTGGCACTTTAACACTGATCTAACCCGAGATGAAAAACACACGCTAGGAAATTTTAAAAAAGAACAAATCAAAACTCCACCTAAGTCAAATTTCTGATGTGACCCCGGCAATGCCGGTTCCTCCCACGCACCAGCTACACGGTACATCAAAATCTCCGAGCCACACGAGGCACCCCGCGGCGGGGCACGCCCGGGGGCAGCCGGCGGGCCCTGGCCGCGGTGCGGGAGCGGGCGCGGGTCGCGGCCGGGCCGCGCGCGGCTGTGGCGCCCGCCCGCACCGCGTCCGTGACGTCGCGGAGCGAGCGCGGCCGGGCCCGGCGAGCGCGTTGTTATTGACCCCGCTCGGGCGGGCACCGGCCGGACCCCGGCCCGAGCCCGCCCCGGGACGCTGACAGGGGGAGCAGGGAGGGACAGAGGCTGTCAGAAAAATTTAAAAATTAAAAAAAAAATTCCAAAGTTTTGTTGCCTTTTTTTTTTTTTCCTAAGTTGCTGCCTTTTTTTTTTTTTTTTTTTTTTTTTTTTTTTTTTTTTTTGCGGGAAATTCAATTTTTTTACCGGGCTGCTCAGGGAGAGTGAGGGAGGGGGAAAAACAACTTTGCCCGTCGCAGCGCTCTCTCCTGTTACCAGCGCCTGCTCCGCTTACCAGGTTCTCGTAGCTCCGGGGATGCTCCTTGCCCGTCCAGTCCGTGCGCTTGGGCAGCAGCTGAGGGAGGGAAGAGAGGACGCCCCGTGAGCGGCTCCCCCCTCCCCCGAGGAGCCCCCCGGCAGCGCCCGGGATGGGGCGGGGGAAGCGGGAGAGCGAGGGAAGGGGGAGGGAGGCCGCAGGCGGGGCGAGTGCCGGGTGCACGGCGCCGCTCTTACCTCTTTCTCCGCCACTTCTCGGATCAGGACCTGCAGCAACAACAAAAGCGGGGCGTGAGAAAAGGTTTCAAAAAGAGGGAAAAAGGGAGAAGGAGGACGAGGCGGCCAGCGCGCCGCCCGATCAGCCGCCCTGCCCGGCCGCCCCCTCCCCACCAGGCCCGGCGGCGCCATCCATCCATCCCTCCATCCATCCATCCCTCCATCCCCTACCTGAGCCGCTTGCTGGCATGGTCCGTCCTCCAAAAAGCGAGCGATGAGGAAGTAGAGCTCTGCGGGAAGAGGAGAGGCCGTCAGGGCTGGAGCTCGCCTCTTTCCCGCGGTCTTCCCTTTCTTCCCCCTGCCCGCCGCCCCTCTCCGGATCCCCGGGCCACCACTCACCCGCTCGCAGCTCCGCCGTGTGCCGGCTACCGCCGTCCCCGGACATGGCGAGGCGAAAACCGGGGAGGGGAGGGGGGGAAAGGGGGAGAAGGGGGGTTGCCCGGGCCGCGCTCCCGCGGCAGCGTCGGGTCCCAGCGAAATGCGCCCGCCCGGTCGCTGTCACTGCTCGTTCACCGGGGAGAGTCTCGGCTCCACCATTCAACCCACGGGCAGCAGCAGCAGCAGCAGGAGGAGGAGGAAACAACAACTCGCAGCCGCCCGCCGCCAACGCCGCCGCCGTCGCCAGCCAGCGCGAGCGAGCGCGATCCCTCCGCCAGGAGAAAGAGTCCCCTCCTCCTCCGCGCCCCCTCCTCAGCCCCCACGGCCCCGCGCGCCGCCCCT